GACCTGAAGCAGCAGAAACGGGAGCAGTCGCGTTTCTACGGGGACCTGATGGAGAAGAGGAGGACGTTGGAGGAGAAGGAGCAGGAGGAGTGAGCGTGCTCGTGGGGGGGCGCGGGGCTGCCGTCCTGCAGGCGGGGGGACGAATCTGCCGCCCTGGGGGCTGCGGGCTGAGCGCCGCGTCCTTTCTGCCCCCTGCCAGGGCCCGGCTGCGGAAGCTGCGGAAGAAGGAGGCCAAGCAGCGCTGGGACGACCGGCATTGGTCGCAGAAGAAGCTGGATGAAATGACAGACAGAGACTGGCGCATCTTCCGGGAGGATTACAGCATCACCACCAAGGGGGGCAAAATCCCCAACCCCATCCGCTCCTGGAAGGATTCATCCCTGCCGCCCCACATCCTGGAGGTCATCGATAAGTGTGGCTACAAGGTGGGCTGGGGGCTCTGTGTGCTGTAATGGGAGCTCGGTGGGGGGAAGAGGGCTGCGTCTTGGGGTCGGTGCTCCTGGGTCGTTTTGGGGGGTTTGGGGCTGTTCTGCTGGCAAACCCCCGCTCTGCTCCCCAGGAACCCACCCCCATCCAGCGGCAGGCCATCCCCATCGGCCTGCAGAACCGCGACATCATCGGCGTGGCTGAGACCGGCAGCGGGAAGACGGCGGCCTTCCTCATCCCGCTGCTGGTGTGGATCACAACCCTGCCCAAAATCGACCGGTGAGGGGCTGCCGTGATGGGATGGGGCGCGGGGGCGCCGGGGGGGGGAGGCGGCGGGGCTGACGTGAGGGCGCTCCGTGCCGCGCAGCATCGAGGAGTCGGACCAGGGCCCCTACGCCATCATCCTGGCTCCCACCCGAGAGCTGGCCCAGCAGATCGAGGAGGAGACCATCAAGTTCGGGAAGCCTCTGGGCATCCGCACGGTGGCCGTGATCGGAGGAATCTCCCGGGAGGACCAAGGCTTCCGCCTGCGGATGGGCTGCGAGGTGAGGCTGCGGCCCCACGCTGCCCTCCTGGGCGCCCCCAGCCCCCGGCGCCGCGCTGACGCCCCTCTGCCCGCCCCAGATCGTCATCGCCACCCCCGGGCGCCTCATCGACGTGCTGGAGAACCGCTACCTGGTGCTGAGCCGCTGCACCTACGTGGTGCTGGACGAGGCGGATCGCATGATCGACATGGGCTTCGAGCCCGACGTGCAGAAGATCCTGGAGCACATGCCTGTCACCAACCAAAAACCCGACACCGACGAGGCCGAGGACCCCGAGAAGATGTTGGCCAACTTTGAGTCGGGGAAGCACAAATACAGACAGGTGGGGGGGGGGGGCGGGGCGGGGCCGGGGGCTCGGGGGGGGTTGGGGCTCCCGCCTGGGCGGCGCTGCTCACTGCCCCTTCCTGCAGACGGTGATGTTCACAGCCACCATGCCGCCGGCCGTGGAGCGCCTGGCTCGCAGCTACCTGCGCCGCCCGGCCGTGGTTTACATCGGCTCTGCTGGCAAACCGCACGAGAGGGTGGAGCAGAAGGTTTTCCTCATGTCGGAGTCGGAGAAGAGGTGAGGGGGGTTGGGGGGGGTTGGGCTCGAGGTGCTCCGGGGTGGGCGAGGGGCAAAGCGGACCGTCGTGGCTCTCCTCCCCTGCAGGAAGAAGCTGTTGGCCATTCTGGAGCAGGGCTTCGATCCGCCCATCATCATCTTCGTCAACCAGAAGAAGGGCTGCGATGTTCTGGCCAAGTCACTGGAGAAGATGGGGGTGAGTTCGGCCTGGAGCCCCGGCCCCACATCCCCATCCCTGCAGCTCACGGCGACCTTCAGCCACCATCCCTGAGCTGCCCAAAGCCCCACGGGGGGCCGAGGCCCCACAGCAGGAGCGCAGCCCCCCCATTTCACCCCATTTCACCCCATTTCACCCCATTTCACCCTGCAGTACAACGCCTGCACCCTGCACGGCGGCAAAGGCCAGGAGCAGCGCGAGTTCGCCCTCTCCAACCTGAAGGCCGGCGCCAAAGACATCCTGGTGGCCACCGACGTGGCCGGACGCGGCATCGACATCCACGACGTCTCCATGGTGGTCAACTACGACATGGCCAAAAACATCGAGGGTGAGTTGGGGTTCTGGGGTCCAATCGAGGGCGGCCCCACGGCGCTGCCTGACCCCCGCGGCCCCACAGATTACATCCACCGCATCGGGAGGACGGGCAGAGCCGGGAAGAGCGGCGTTGCCATCACCTTCCTGACCAAGGAGGATTCCACCGTGTTCTACGACCTGAAGCAGGCCATCCTCGAGAGCCCCGTCTCCTCCTGCCCCCCCGAGTTGGCCAACCACCCCGACGCCCAGCACAAACCGGGCACCATCCTCACCAAGAAGCGCCGCGAGGAAACCATCTTTGCGTGAGTGCCGGGGGTCGGGCTCTGCTTTCTGAGCCCCTTCTGGGCACAGCAGGAGCTCCGGGTGCCGCCGTCACTCCGCCTCCCTCCTCCCCGCGCCGCAGCCAGGACTGCCGCCACTGCACCGGGGCCGGGCCGCCCCCAAACATCCCTCCGTGCCCTCAGCCCCCCTCCCCGCATCCCCCCAGGACTCATGGAGGCTCTTTGGGGCCGGGTTCCTCCTTGCCCCTCTCTGCTGGGCTCCGCTTGGGGTCCGGGTGCCGTTTGGTGGCTGGGGCCGCGTTCGCCTCGTTCCTTTTTTTACCCCGGGCTGCAATAAAGCAGCAGCAGCAGCGTTGCTGGATGCTGGTTCTCCACATTTGCACGG